GGACCTGGACAGACTGGAGAGTTGGACAGAGATAAAACTGATGAGGTTCAACAAAAGCTACTGTTGAGTCCTGCTCGTGGGGAGAAATAACCACATGCATCAGTACAGGTTAGGGGGTGGCCTGCTGGAAATGAGCTCTGCAGAGAAAGACCTGGATGTCCTGGTGGACAACAAGTTGGCCATGACCCAGCAGTCTGCCCTTATGGCCACGAAGGCCAATGGTGTCCTGGGGTGCATTAAAAGGACCATGTCCAGCAGGTTGAGAAGGTCATCCTCCTCCTCTACTCTACCCTCGGGAGATCACATTTGGATTACTGCATCCAGTTCTGGGCTCCTCTGTTCAAAAAAGATAGGAATCTCCTAGAAAGTGTCTAGTGGAGGGCGAAGATGATAAAGGGTTTGGAGCATCTCCTGTATGAGGAAACACTGAGTAACGTGGGTGTGTTCAGTGAAGAGAGGACTGAGATTGATTGGATCTGATTGGTGTTTATACATATTTAAAATGCAGGAAGCAACTGGTTGAGGCCAGACTCTTTTTAGTGGTGTGTAGTGATAGGACAAGGAGCAATGACCAAAAGCTGGAACATAGGAAGTTCCACGCAAATATGTGGAAGAACTTTGTTACAGTGAGGATGACAGAGCACTGGAACAGGCTTCCCTGAGAGTTTGCAGAGTCTCTTGGAGATATTCACGATTTGTCCGGATGCCTACTTGGATGACCTACTGTAGGAAGCCCGCTTTAGCAAGTGGGTTGGAGTCTATGATCCCTAGAGGTTTCTTCAAAATCTGCAATTCTGTGATGACAATATTTCATTTTCAAAAGACAGCTGTAAGATGTAAACACTGTTATGAAGACTTTCTACTATTTGGCACCAACCACAATCCTTCTTAAGACGTAGTTGTATTTGGGGGAAACTGAAATGTTAATTTATTTATACTTTTCCTTTGATAAGTCCTGCTGCTCTTCAGAATTTCAACTTTATTCTCTGGATATTTTTTGAATCCTAGACATTACATTAAGAGACTGTAAACAAAGTATACCATTAAACTTACAAAGGAGTTCAAAACATCCAAGACAGTCATTTCAAAATACTTCAACAGCTGCACACTTTCATGTCTACACACACTAATATCATAACCACTGCAGTACAATTCTTTAAATTTATGCTGGTGTCCATTCCATCATGTTTGAAATGGCAAAGCAAACAGAACTGCAGAGTGAGTGTTGAGCAGAGACATATTTTTGTTTGGGCAGTGTCTACTGTAGTTGCCACTAGAGCACTGATGAGAACACATTCATGTAATTATAAATACTAACCAGCAGCACAAATATCCTTAGATGCTGTGACTAACATATAAAATGGTTATATTTTGTGCTAAGATGAGAGTGGCTTAAGGTGTGCTACCCTAAGCAAGTAACAAGTGCACGGTACTGCACTTGGATCAGAGCAATCCCAGATATTTATACAGACTGGGGGAAGATCTCCTTGAGAGCAGCCTTGCGGAGAAGGACTTGGGGGTCCTGGTGGACAAGAAGCTGGACATCAGCCAGCAGTGTGACCTTGCAGCCCTGAAGGCCAACTGTGTTCTGGACTGCATTAAGAAAGGGGTGGCCAGCAGGAGAGGGAGGTGATTGTCCCCCTCTACTCAGCTTTGTGAGGCCTCATCTGCAGAACTGCATCCAGGCCTGGGGCCCCCAGTACAGGAAGGATGTGGAGCTCTTGAAGTGTGTCCAGAGGAGGGCCACTAAGATGATCAGAGGGCTGGAGCACCTCTCCTATGAGGAAAGGTTGAGGGAACTGGGATTGTTTAGCTTGGAGAAGAGAAGGCTCTGAGGAGACCTCATTGTGGCCTTCCAGTACTTGAAGGGAGCTTATAAACAGGAGGGGGAACAACTGTTCACATGGGTGGATACTGACAGGACAAGGGGGAATGGTCTTAAGCTGAGACAAGGGAGGTTTAGTTTAGATATTAGGAGGAAGTTTTTCACTCAGAGGGTGGTGACGCACTGGAGCAGGTTGCCCAAGGAGGCTGTGGATGCCCCATCCCTGGAGGCATTCAAGGCCAGGCTGGATGTGGCTCTGGGCAGCCTGGTCTGGTGGTTAGCAGCCTAAATGTAGCAGGGGAGGTTGAAACTGGATGATCACTGTGGTGCTTTTCAACCCAGGCCATTCTATGATTCTCAACAAAGGAAATCTTATATGCATAAGGGAGGGGAAAAAGCATGTGTAAAAAGGATTGAGCGCAAACACTCAGATGTGGACAAGGTATACAGTAACACTGGAGGACACTAATACCAAACTATTTTGATCACTTTATAATAAGAATTTTAAAAATATATAACAATTCTGTAACAGCTTGTTGTTTTGTGAAAGTACTCAGCATAGATAAGCACCGTGCACATGCCAAGTTAGAAAAAACAGGTCAGGGCCATGCCTACCTGACAATAAACATGGCTGAGCCTTCTGCAATTGAAGAGATGCCTGAGACTGTTTCCAGTACAATGGACACCCTCTTCAGCCATGTACACACAGGATAAATAACATTCTCTGTGTAGATATTTTATCTTCTATTAATGCAGCTGGCTAAAACAGTCTAAATCCAACCTTTATTTAGTACTTTAGAATTACAAGGATTTATAAAGCAATCTTTATTGGTTTTATCTGAGAGCACACTATTACTGTGCTATAGCACTCCCTGTGCAGCACTCTGTGTAAATTAAAAAGAAAAGAAAAAAAAATGAATGTTGATTCTTATGAGTTCTTAGGAGGTATCTCATGAGAAACAGATTATGATTCAAGAGAGCATTACTTCTGTCACTCCCTGCTTGGTTGGTATGTCTTACTTGACAGCAGGATTTTAAACCAGTAGAACTGTAAGCACTGCTATTTTACAGCACACTTAGTGTAAATAGGAAAAAGGAATTAATACAATGAAAAGAAAGAAATTGTATACATTTTTTGCAGGGAAGTTTTCCTTTTTTAACACAGAATTAAACTGTAAAGAGAGCATAAGTCTTCAAAAAATGCTGTCTCATAAATTTCATCTGCTTTAGTATGGGAACAATTAGAATGCTATAAACTCTTGGGGTGTTCAGCATGTCAAGTTCACGGTTTTAAAATAATGGTTTGAAATTTATTTTTGATATTTGACATATTTTATGTACTTACTAAGATGATTTGTTATTTTTTACTCCTGATCTGTTCAGAGGGGGAGAAATTAATGTTTACTGACAATTTTTAAATAGTGCACTGCTCAGCACTACACATGTAAATTAACAGCCCTAATTAATACTCGGCAAGATGAATATGAGTGGAACAGGTATCTGAAGGATTCAGTGGCTCTTCTAAGTGCTTAGTATGGGGGTAAGAGGGAGCTGAAATAAAACTTAAGCATAAATACTATGTAGAAAGCCCTGCATTTTTATAGTTTGTTATTGCTCTTTCTCCACGTTATCAACTTACTAAGATCTGTAACACTGACAGAATTCCAGGTTCCTGTCTGGAAAACGCAGTGCAACTCTGTCTTTTCATAAATAACTGAACTTCATTTTCTGTGAATACTCAGTCAATCATTTTCAGACAATCAAAAAGATGTATGTGACATTCTGAGATGTTTAATTCACAAAAGTGGCATTTATCAATAATATATATTGAGACAGATTGTTATAAAATGAAAAAAGCGACACGGAGACTTCAAAGCTTTGAATTCTTTAGAAGTGAGTGAAAAAAAAAAAAGCAGCATGAAAAGAAAAAAGCACAAAAAGAAACAGCATGGTACCAGCAGGAAGCAGTGAAATTGCACTGATTCCTGGAGGCAATCCCAAAGTGGAAGATTCCCTCTCTGCAAGCAGTGATCTTTGATTGCTATCCACTCACAACCACATCAATCCATTAAGATTAAAAACATTTTCGGTTAAAAGACTCAAACTTCTTAGGATTTATTCCAAAGCTGTATTTTTTTTAGGTAAAGAAGTTCAGGAATTATAATTTTCTTTTTTGAAGAGAGAGAGAAAAAAAAAGCTGTGTTGTACTTCTAATTCTGGCAAATACAATTACTGCAAATTCTGGAACAGAAAGCACCGTTTTTACTGTATTTTATAGACTCTAAATTTCTGCATGTGATTTAAAAAAGACTTTTTTTTCAAAACATACATGCAATACTGAGCACACTTATAATCACAGCCTCTTTATAATTAAAATGCATCTTCATATAACTCATAATTACGTTACACACCATGTAGTGCATTCCTAGCTTCAGTTTGCACTTAGAGTCACAGACTGGCTTGGGTTCAAAGGGACCTCAGAGACCATCCAGTTCCACCTCCTGTTAATTATGTATCATTATGCATAATCATAGAATCCTTAGAATTGGAAGGCACCAATTTTTCAATAAACAAGCTAGTGAAAAGTACTGATTCACTTATATCTCTGTAAGCAGAATGCACAGCATGTCAGACTTGTTAATCAAACCTTATTTTTTTTGGAACTGGGTAAAATCCCATTGCATTACAGCTGTGACAAACCCTTAACTCAGTACTAGCAAGGCCCAGCTTTCTCCTCTGAGCGCACAGAACGCAGCAGTTGAAATGCAAGGCTCAGCTCCACGTCGGTACCACCGAGCAGCATCTCCCAGCGGTACCATTTGGAATTTGACGGGAATTTGACGGACCGCAGCAGCCGTACGGCGCAAACTCCGGCACCGCAGCGCTGCCCCGCAGTGCCGCCCCAACCTCACAGCGCCCCGCCCGCGGGAGGCGGGAGCGACCTCAACGCTCTTCCGAGCATGCGCACCCGTCCGCGCATGCGCCCCGCGGCAGCTCCCTTCATTCTAAGGATGGACTGAAGCTCTCGCGGGTGGGGTGCTGGCAGCTGTTTTTCTTTCCTCGCAGCCCGACCGCTCGGCTTCGGGATGTGGAGGCCGTCAGCACTGCTGTCCCTCTGAGCCCGGTGAAGAGCCATTCCCCCGTTCGCGCTCCCCTCCGAACGGCGCGTACCCACCTGCAGCCAACACCAGCGGCGCTCCGACCAGTCTGGCCCACCCCCGCGCAGCAGCGACGCCAGCAGATTGGCTTCTTCCGGCGTCACTCTCCCGGCTCTTGTACTCGGAGTGGCTTCGCGGGCTGTCAGTCCTCATGAAAGCCCGCCCATCCCGCCGTGCGGGTGCGTCTCTGACGACACCGCGGGCGCAGCTCAGCCGCAAGGCACCGCCTTTCCTCTGATAGGCCGACACCTAGCGCATTCCGCTGTCACTCAGGCTCCGCCCTGACAGCGGATTGGCTGTCGCCGCTCCACAGCCTGTCCTGCCCTCCTTCCCGCCCAGCGGGTGGGCAGGCGCGGTTGTCAAGGCTGCGGGACTATGGGCGGCGTGCGCTGGGCTTTTCCCTGCGCCGCCTGGCGACCCCGTCGCGAGGAGTGGCTGCTGGCGGCGCGGCTGGTGCAGCCCGAGGAGAAGGAGCGCATCGGCCGCTTTGTCTATGCTCGCGATGCCAAAGCCGCCTTGGTACACACACGGGGGGGCGGAGGCGCGGTGGAGGAGCTGAGCGGCTCCCTCGGGGCTGCGCTGTGCAGCGTAACGGCCGTCCGGGCTGCGAGCGCGTCCTGGTGGCGTTACGGCGTGACGTGAGGGAGGAGGCAGAACCGGCTGACCCGTGAGGTTACGTGTGAGTGAGTGAGGGCGGTGTGTAGGAGAATAAAGCTGTTTCATTCTGAGACTTCCGCGTGATCCGTTTAGGATTTAAATCCTACGCAGCAATGCGCTACTCAAGGCTTTTTGCTGACGTGTCTGTAAGCAGTGACCCCGCGCTTTCAGCTGGTCAGCATTTCTTGTAGTGCCTGAGTCACTGGATGACTCTTCATAAAAGGAAGCTTTGGAGAGTTTTGCTGTGTATGAAGGATAATACAAAGAGTATTCATCAGTGCAGCGAAGTATCTGAAGTAAATAAGATAGAGAAGGACTGATTTTATGTCAGCCTTCAAGGCTTAGTCTGCTTTCTGCGGACCCTGTCAGGCTCTGTGCTGATAGTGATATGCATATTGCGAACCCAGCTCTGGTGAAAAGCTTTTGGTTTTTGGCTAAATTTACTTGGCGAGGGCTTTTGGAAAGGGGCAAACCTAAATGATCTGTCACAAAAGCTCGCTTTTGTTTGACAATAATGAAAACGTACTTTTTTAGGCAGGTGATGTTTTAGCAGCTACAGTGATGTTACACATCACACAATAGTTCTGTCTGATTTCATTTTATTTCATAGGCTGGTCGCCTGCTGATGCGGAAACTAATTGCAGAAAAGCTGTTCATACCTTGGAATGAAATACACTTGCAAAGGACATCGAAAGGAAAACCTTTCCTGGCAAACAACATATTCAGTGTATGTTCAAATTACAACTTCAACGTCTCTCATCAAGGAGATTATGCAGTTCTTGCAGCTGAGCCTGGGCTTCAAGTTGGCATTGATATAATGAAGACTGATTTACCAGGTAATGCGTTACTGTGACCAAAGCAGATTCTGTAATGTTTTAAGTGCTGAAGACATCAAAGTTTCCCAAGTAATCAATCTGTGTCCTAGCAATTTAGTGTTATCAGAAGTGTGTGTGCACATATTTGCTTTTTTTTTTTTAAAAAAAAAAAAAACTATTACACACTCTTTACTGTTTGCTTAAGGTTTCCTGTTGCACCAAATGGGAATATATTTAGAAACCAGAACTCTGGAAGAATAAGGTCATGAATCCTGTTGTGATGTTGACAGGATTGGCACCTGCAGATATTTTAATTGCAGGTTTGCTAAACATTGGGGAGGTAGAAACAAGGACAGCTTTCAGTGCTGGGGAGTGGGATCCAATTCTCTGAGACCTTAACAGCTTGTAGCTTTGAATATTTTTTCCCATTCATGTAAATGTAGACATTGTATGCATCAGCACTGGGTCCAGGAATGCAACAAACTGGCATGTTTGCTATGTCTGTACAGTAATCTTCAGTGAGAGGGAATCAACTGAGTGTGCTAGAGGTATCCCTAGCATGGAGCTACATTCAAAAACATCTCCTGTTGGTTTATTTAATTGGATGAAACTTTAAGCTAACATGACTCTTAGTAAACTAAAGGATCAAAAGCATAAATTGGAATGTATTTATTTAATACCAATTATAAATTGTTAGTAAAGGATATTTTTAAGTGCACTTTTATGAAGGTTGTTTTGTTCACAAATGCTCAGTGATGGAGAGAAGGAAGTATGCTGAGATTTAGGATATACTGATATTTTTCAGACTTTGAAAATCCTTGTCAAACAATTAACCAGTAACACAGCTGAGAAAATCTCTGTTTATAATCTTCAGTTTGTCCAGCACATCATGCTACAAAATGTTTTAATGTAGTATGAAAAAAAATTAAAACCCTAACTTCATATCTTTCTGAATGCAGTATGCTTTTTTGTTGATTATTGTCAGCATTAAATTTTTGGAATGGTACATTTTGTAAATATGCATAGAAACTTTACTACAGTTCAAAGCAAAAATATCTGACTCAATTCCCTGTGTTTGCAGACTAACTCAAAAAATGATGGTCATCAGGTAATGCTATTGCAGGAGTAGAAAGGCTCCAGAACCATGCTGGAGTGTGTGTCCCCACTATAGCCTGAGGAGGACCCCACAGCAAAGCATCTGGATATTCCTGATAGAAACTGTGGGGTGTTGATAAGGCCACTTTAGTGCATATGCATCTCTGAAGGGACTGGAATAATGCAGAGCCAAATACTGTGTTGTGCTTGTGCATACTGCTTTTATTGTGGCTTTTCCAGGCAAAACAAAATAAAGTGATGAACAGCGCAGCAAATTGCAGATGCTGAGTGTAGCCATTAACAAGTCCTGAAATTTGATGTACAGCAGGAGCATGCCATGGAGCAAGTAGGCACGTTTGAAAGCAAGTCAGTCAGTGCTGTAGCCAGAAGCAGGAAGTAAAAGTTAAACATATGTTAAAACCGTTAATTCTGTCTAGCATTCTCCAATCAATTACGTTGTTACCTTGAGTCATTAGGCCCCAGATTGTAACTCAAAGACTGTGATGGCTGGCAGCTGTGCCCTCACCCACCTACTCGCCTCCACCTCCCTCTCCTACTGGGATAGGGAAGACACTCAGAAGGTCTTTGAATACTGCATTGATTTCATAACTTCTTCAGTATCGAGAGAGGCTCCTGCCAGCATTTCCTAGTATTGCTGATGGCAGTGGTTCTGAAGTCCTGCAGTAGAGCAAATGGTTCTGCATTGTATTGAACAGCTGCAGTCAGCAGCTGTGAGGATTTGGGAACATCAGCTGCTGTGACAAAACAGTAGAGATCTGATACAGACAGTCTTCAGTGTTTTTACCTATAAAGAGAAAAATAATGGTTATTCTGGAGATGCTAGTAATTCCGAAGACTTCAGTGATGAAATTAAATTGACATTTTTGTAATAAGGTCATGCTGAAAAATTATGTATCTGGATGGCCAGTCCAAAACAAGCTAGAAACATTTGAACAGGTTGCCCAAGGAGGCTGTGGATGCCCCATCCCTGCAGGCATTCAAAGCCAGGCTGGATGTGGCTCTGGGCAGCCTGGTCTGGTGGTTGGCGACCTTGCACAGAGCAGGGGGGTTGAAACTGGATGATCATTGTGGTGCTTTTCAACCCAGGCCATTCTGTGATTCTATGATTCCCGTGAGATGCAGGCTGATGTGATTCCGAACATGCATACTTTCTAATGCTACTTTACCCATCTCAGTATTTTCACAGAGATCTAGGTATGTGTTAGCAGAAGATGGTGCTATTGGGACAGTCATTGTATCCACAGTCTGAATTCATGATGACAATCTTTAGCAGTAGAGTATGAAACACATCATTCCAAGGTTGCTGCTTTCATTTCCAATTTCTGAAGTTCAGTAGTTAGCATACTCTTCAGGAGTAATTCAGCAGTCAACATCTTGTATGGAGCACATATGTTCTATCTTATGGTAATGAAAAGAAGGAACTTATGTGCTTGTCATTCTATGCAAGAAGTGACTGTCAGGAGTGTGTCAGTGCCTGGCCTTGCGTTTTCCACGTTGTGCAACTTTACATAAACGCTTGTGAATTAAGTTAAAAAACATCGTGCACCAGAATTTCATATAGGTTTTGTTTATGGCCATACAGTTTTCTTGCTGGAGTTATAATGCACATCTTTGGAAAAGATAATCTTATAGTAATGTGAATTTATTAGTAGTGTGTGGTGGGGAAGCAAGCCAGTGAATAAGCAACATTAAGGATGTAAGAATTTGTAATTGTAGTCTCTGTATTATGAACTAATGCTAGTAGTTTTTCTCACCTAAAATACTTTCTGAGAAAGTTCGTGGTAATTCTGAGAAGACAAGATCTGTTTTTATGCCATGCTGTGAATATAGGATACCTTTGACTTCACTGGTGGTGTTTTATCCTACAGTTCCACTGGATGGTGCTGTTGTCCTGCGGTTATAAAGCACGTATTTCTGAGCATAACGACTTGCATAGATAGGCTATAATCTCTGGAACAGCAACAAGGACAAAGAGTTCCATATGTACAAAGTACATTGCAGTATTTTTTTTTAAATATGCTTGCTTAAGGACAGAACACTCCATCCTGTGACGCTGTCCTACAGAATCTGGAGGTCTCCAATGTTGTTTCTTTATGTTCAACCAGTGAACAAAATATGTATTTTAAATGCACAAATGAATATCATGTAGTTGCAAGTTTCAAAAAATATGCCCAGTAACTGTGTGCTGGTATATACACATAAAAATCAGTGCACGTAAACATCTGGTTTCCTCTTAATCTGTGCTATTTATTTCTGATTTATGATCAATACTGAAGGTGCCTCTTTCCGTATTACTTTTTCTGCATTATTGAAATCTGAAAAGTGAAACTACTTAGAAGGGCTGCACAAAAAGCTATTGCAGATAGAGACAGTTCTACACAAGTTCCATGGGTTTGCAACGTTTTATCAGGGTTTGTACTTTGTTCAGATATTGAAATAGATAATGTACTGATAGCTGAAGAGGAAGACTTCCTGTTTTGATATTGCAAATTACAATTTCCTGAGGTGGTGAGTTTTTTTTAATAATCCAGAAAATTATTGTGGTAGATTAAAACACCATTTAATTGACTAGCTGAAGAAGAAACA